GGGACGCTGGAGGTCGTAGGTCACAGCTCTCCGTGGAGAAGAACCTTGGCTTTCTTCATGTTTTCCTCCACTGGAAAGGAGCACAAAATTACTGGAAGCTTTTCATCTGTCACACCCAACCAATCAACCAATCACTGATGGATACACCTGGAGTAGTTTAGTGCAAAACTGTCAGATCTAAAAAAAAAAACAACCCTCCAGTAAGGCAGATTTCCATCTCTCGTGGACTACTCACGCGTTTCAATGTCATCAGGCTCATATGTGTACAGATGGTTGCTGTACTTGCCGGTGATGTCAGCGCGCACCGTCATGGAAGGATCTGGGGAAGAGGCAAAGTTAACGTTCAGCTGGTTGCCGGCTGAGCTGCATGATGTAGAGTGACTCCTTTTTAATCATTATTTTCCTCTGTGACAGGGAAACACTGAGTCTGAAACTCTGAAAATGTCACTACAGATGAACAAGATAATTGCACATGAACTGCCAGTCAGTGCCTCTGTTTTCAGTAAGGCTGTTAACAAGACCCTGCCCTGTGGCAGCAGGTCAGATTCAAAATGAATGAAAAGTTTTAGTAGAAGTGGATTGCATTGTTGTTTCTAAAGTATTTTAAAAACCGGTGGTAACATCTCAGAAATAAGCATAAAAAGACCACCATCACGCCATTTGACTGAAAAGGGTGGAATGCCAAAATGGGTGAATGTTTGAATGTTAGTCTCATTCTTACTGAGAAAAAACGTTTGATGACCTTTTATGAATATAGCCTCTCAAATTGTTACATTTCAAACAATGCATGCTTGATTAAGAATACGACTGTGCGGTCTGTGATGATGTGCATTTGGACTTTGAAATAAATAAAATGCTGGAATGTTTCTACAACTGCTATGAAACTCACCGACAAAGAGAATTCTGGGCACATAGAGGCCATCTGGGGACAGGTTCTTGTCCACCGTTTCATGCTGGACGTGACGATGTAACATGAAACAACAATGAATTACTGTAGTGAGACATGTTACACTATTGCAGTGAGAGTGTAATAGTTTGTGCTGCATTCAAGCTGCATTTCATTGCACAAAATATTAGACAACTGCACAAATCCATTTGTTGATTGATACATTAAATGTACATTGTCCCAAAGTATTTTTATAACATTATAAAAATGTGTATTGTACCAGTAGGTTGAGCATGATGAAATCCTCCTGGGCCATTTTTTGGATGTTTTCATTAGCAGCAAACACCTTTTTAAGAGCTGAGTGGCAACATGAGAGACACAGTTTTAATTAACCTGTCAAAATCCCACATTTTGTTCAAGTACATGTGCAACAGTGTCTTCAATGCAGAACAACCTGTCATATAACCTGAAATAATTTTTAGAAGCTTTATAAGCCTTTATCAGCCCAAAACTGTAACTTAGTCACAAAAAGCTGTCATTCATACTTTGATAATAGCTTGCCATTAAGTTCCAGTCATAAAGAGCTATTGTTGTATTATAAAGGTATCACAGTAGACGTGTGGAGTTACTGTGTCATGGCATTAGGCTGGACTGTAAAGGGGTCACCAAAGACATTACATCTGGTAGTTTAGAACGACCTTGGGCAGCACTCATTTAAGGCTGATTTTGAAAATGATAAAGAAATCACACCTTGACAGTGGGGACAATCCTCCAGGTGATGAATGACCATGAGGGGCTTTTGGCTGAGAAAAAAAGAAAGTGGTTATTTGCTCTGTTGTACCACTGTTTGGCTTCTTGTAGAAGCAAAACCTCACCTACCTTTCTTTCATTTTCGTCAACCCTTCTTCATAGGTTTGTACCCAGGTAATTTCATCACCCCATCCTGCAACAAAATACATTAGTGTGGATGTTGTATATGTACATATATATACATACATATATAAATATATCATTCACACATGTACGAAAAAATATCACATACGTATCAAAATACATGGAATGCATATTTGCATATTTGGCACCAGGCATGTAATTATGCAAGAGTCATTACAAAAATGATTCACAATGGGAAAGCCAATACTTTTCAAGTCTCAAATAACCATTGAAAATACAGCATACAAAGCATGCAGCCAAACCTACCTCTAGAAAGAGTCTGAGGAGGTTTTTTAGATTTCCTCTGAAAGGAGTTGTCTAAACCAGCCAAAAAGAGCAGGGCACACAAAGAGATCTGGCAGTGCATCATCGACCGTGAGAAAACAGAGGTCCAGCTGTGATGAAATATATAATTTTTATGCCATGACAATGTCAGATATTTCAAGGCTTTGAGAAATTCCTGTAAGAATGGAAACAGCAAGACTACATTCCAATTCAGTAATTCATCCTACATCACTTCCTTATAAGGCACATATGACAATTCTATGAGAAAACAAAAACAAAGCAGAGTATTGAGCATTATACAGAAAGCATGTATTAAGCTGCCTTGTAAAGGCCATTGAATGGGTGTGTGCTTCATCCAACAAACCAGTCCTCCTGGCCCTCATTTTCAAACTACCATTAACTTCATTTCAGATTCTAAGAAATTATTTTACGAAATGGAAATTGTAAGGTAAACTGCAGATTAGTTTTCAGGAAACAGTTCCAGGTACCCTTTCATGTAACTTAATTTGTGACTTTGCAAAACACATAATATTAAGAGTCTTTCACTATTAAAGCTGTAAAACCATTAACCAGGCTAGTTAAACAAGCTCTACTGTGATCCCCATCTGAGAAACTGACAGCTCTACAGTATAAAGGGAGGGCCAAAATGAGCTATTCTGAGGCATCTTTAATGTTCTGTCACACAACAGGTCAGTCCTGTTTCAACAGGATAACCGACATTGCTGGAATTGACAACTGTGAGATTTGACAGTCAAGGTCACAACCTCCTTTAAATACTAATAAATAATAAATTAATGTATTTGCATGTTATGTTGAACTAACAGAGCATAGCAACAGAAAACTAATCAACTTAAATATAGGTATTAATAAACAAGGCCAACAGCAGGCAAATTTTGTATAAAGCAGTTCTATCTAAAGAACCATCTCCAGAACTGAACCTACAACATTACTGTTAACACTATAGTTCCGTGTGCATTTCTGTATAAATTGTGTAGGTGGATCACCAAAATTCTTCACTTTGCTTTTATTTTATTTGCACATTGATTTTAACTCTTTTTGCATTGTAGGTGTACTATTGGAAACATGTATGCAGGACATTAATATGTATATGTTATCAACTGAAATATCAAAAATCAGAATCAATTGATTGAAGTATAACTTTGAAAACTTATTTTAGCTTTCTATACCAGCGCTAATTTCTAATTGCATGCTCTTGCACACATAGAGTACACAAAACAACTAAACATGACCCAGGGGCCCAGTCTTTCTCATTAAAACAAGTGTTAGCAAGAAAGTTTCACAGCTCATTCTAAATTATTTTAGATTGCATGATAAGAAATTGCTTATTATAATATGATAATTGCACATCATCTTAAAGCCCATGAAACACCTTGTAAGTATAAAACACATGCTTGATAATTAAAAGTGAAATGTTTAACTGGTAGATCAATCGGTAGAAAAATGTATCAAAACCATCTTATAAAATGAATACTTTGAAGGAATGGCAGTTCTAGGAGTTAAATTACAACTATCAACTTCCATTACTTTATTAATCATCTCTCTAAATAAAGTACTCAACTTCTTACCGGTTGCAGAAAAGTGTATCCTGAGCTATGTGTGAAAGTGCTCCCACAAAGCTCTGTGATAGGCTGTATCTCTGCTTCCTTTTTATACAGAACTCACTAGACAGGTGTGACGGTGTCACACAGAGGAAACCAAGAAGTTCTCATCGCAGCACTGGAGACGAACATGGATCATTCGAATACAGAATAACACAGAGCAACATAAATTCACATATAGATAAATACATACACAAACAGACATTAACATGTAAGCACACATATGCATGCTCACATACTTGCACGTGCACACATTCACTCAGGTGCACACACACACAGAGAGAGAGAGAGAGAGAGAGAGAGAGAGAGAGAGAAGTGCTCAAACATCTCTGGTTTCAGTTATGTGTGTTAGGTGTAGTCATCCTGAGGAGGTTTTTCCACCCTTTCTGCTTGCCTTCAATATGCAAAACACCAAGGGATATACGTTACCTTCTCATTGATCATGTCAATCAATGATCAATCTTCTTTGCATTAACTATCATGTATACTTGAAAATGGCAGTTGACTAAAATTTGTTTAACCATAGTTATTATTGTGAGTTATTTTTGTGTGTCATTGTCTTTTATTTGAACTAAAGTCACATTTTGTATGAATGACAGAGAGGTCTCAGTCCAAGTTGTAATCCAAGTTATAAGCAACTGCTTTGCTCTGCCAAATAGGTATATAATATATATAAAATAAATAGGTATATAATATATATATATATATATATATATATATATATATATATATATATATATATATATATATACACATACAAATATGTATATTAACAAAGATGTTATCTATATGTAATAAAAGACACTACTAGTGCTGGTAATGAATGCATGCGAATAATGGGATTATGCCAAAGGATTATTTTTATATAGCACCTTTCAAGGTTCTTGAAGCAGTTTACACCATTAAAGTGTCATGTCCACCTAGGTGATGTCCAGCAGCCATTTTGCACAGGAACACTCACCACGCATCAGCTGAGACCTGGGAGGGAGGGAGCTATTTCACAAATTAAACTGGAGGAACATTAGATGACCTTTTTTAATGAGCACAGAAAGCCAGAAGCTCTTTCTAATGTCTCATCATGAAAGATGGGGCCTCATACAACACACTGTCCCCATCAATGCACTGAGGCTTTGGTATCATTTTGGGTCCAGAGGGAAGACTGACCCGTTCTGGCTCACCAACAGTTTCTGGACTTGCTTCAGAGGGTCTCTCATCCAAATGCTAACCATGCCCATTGCAGCTTAGCTTCTGCCACCAGTAAGTTACAAGGTGAGAGCAGCAGTGTAGCATAGTGGTAAGGTGCTAGGCTTATAACCAAAAGGTTGCCAGTTCAATTCCTGGCTAGGATGCTGCTGTTGTACCCTTGATTCTTAACCCAGCATTGCCTTAATAAATATTCAGTTGTGTAAATGGATAATATGTAAAATTGTAACCAATGTAACTCAGCTCTGCATAAGAGTGCCTGCTAAATGACAGTAATGTAAAGATACATGTTTGCTACAATAAATCTGTTATCTATTTATCCCTTATTTGTATATTTTAGTTTTATTCCAATGTACTACTATAAATTTCAGAAGTTAAGGTTATTTTGATTCAGAAAAAAAAACAAATATGATAAACAACGACACGACTCCATATTAACGGACGTTACGATTAGTTAGCTGAACAAAGCTATTTCTTCAGTTATTCTTGCTAGTCGGTCTACGTTGTTACCTGTTGCTATAGGCAGCAGCCGTGCCTGACAACTATGAGGTTTCTGCGCACAGTGCGCAGGCGCGGCCGAGGAGGAGGATGCATTATGGGAGTTGAAATCGTTGTGATTCCAAAATTTAAGTGAGGGGCGGTTAGTATAACGTTAAATCGTTTTACACTTATTAAAAAGGGAGGTAACTATTTAGGATATTTTTTCCTCGTAACATCTGCCATGAACGGGTCAGTTGCGAGAAAGACCCAAGAAACGCTGGGTAAAGTGATCAAAAAGCCTCCACTCACAGAGAAACTGCTCAGTAGACCACCGTTCCGATACCTGCACGATATATTCAGTGAGGTGAGAAAAATGTGTCTGTAAACTGTTGGTGGCTAGCTTGGTAGGTCTTGTAAGTTTCAGGGGAATTCCCAAATGATCTGCGATGAGCCTCATTTCGGGAGTGTGGCTGCTTAGCTAAAATAACTGGTGCTAGCTATCTGGCTGGGTGAAGCTGGTCTAAGTTTGCATTGTGGGGATCGTCTTTGGGTCGCTGTATTCGGCAGCTTACCAGTAAATTTTTATTTCGGTTGGATAAATTATTTTGCAGCTAGCGATTGTGTAAGACAGTCGGGGCTGATTGATGTTGGCTAGCTAGCTAGCGTCTTTTCGTTGCTAGGCACTCCACAGGGAAGCCAAACAATGCGAAGTCCTTACAGTGCCTTCAGGTGCACCAGGGTGCAAGAGTTTAATGAGAAACAAGCTATAGTTAGTTATCCCTGGTAAAATTTAGACAAGATATGTTCTCGAAAAAATGCCCCACTGCCTTGACGTATTCTGTTTTTTTGTTTCACGGCACTTTCCTGTCAGGCTTATTGGTTTTATAAAACATTTATCCCGGTATTAGTAATGTTTTCATCGGTAAACACACGACGATTGGAAGACGTAGGGTGTTCTGTCCTGTCCTGATACTCCAGTTAAGCCCCGTCTTTCGGTTAACTTAAGTGCAATTTCATGATTAAATTTGCACAGCTGGAGTGGCCTGGTATTAACCAGTAAACTGAATTGTAAAGGAAACCCGGCCCAGGTAGCAAGGTTGACTTTGCATCAGATACGTTAAAATTTCAGCGAAAGAACACCGGTGTGTGTGTATAGACATAAATAGTCACAACCTCCATCTCCATCATGATGAATCCTTCCCTTCTCCTTTCTCACAGGTGATCCGCACCACTGGCTTCATGAGGGGCCTGTATGTGGAAGCAGAGATGAAATCGGACAATGTGAAGGTAATGTCCTCTCCACAGCTTGTTCACATGTGGTTTTTCAGGTAATGCACACATTTGTGCATTCTCGTCAGATTTTCAGTGAGAAGTAATCGGAGAGGTCAGTTTTAGTGACAGTGTCGTCAGCCTAAGCCACGTGCTAGCGCTTATGTAATCGCTGATGTGGCTGGCTGGGTGTTTGCGTTGCCTTTCTTGTAACCCGAGGCACGGTCTTTAAGTGATCCATGGCAAAGCCAGAGGATTAATCACCCCGCACTTGTCACGCTCCACTCCCTTTCTCGTCCCTGTTTGTGTGGGGATGCCCGTGTCTGTGCCAGCTTAAAAAATGCACTTGAACAGGGTCTGCAGTTACACTGGTACAAAGCGGCGCTGGGTGAACTGAAGATTTCACACCTGATCCTGTAAGGTAGCGGGCTGCCACAGGGGAGCGGCCACCATTGAAGCCCAGCATGCATAACACATGTGTTCCCTACACCCAGGAAACTGATCTGAGGTCAGTCACGGATCACTCACTGGCCTCAGATAAGGAGGAGGCATTTAGCTAAACCAAGGCAGGTTTTCATGTTAAGCTTTTTCAGAAGGTAATCTGATGAGCCTGTGAGATTTTGGAATCTCCTGTAGCAGTACGCATGCATTAGAGTTTGAAGGGAATGCTGTTGGCCTGATGCTAACGCAGAATGAATCCCTATTTGGCACGTTTTGTGGTGTCTGTGTGTGCTGACTGATTTGCAAATCTTTTTTGGAAGGGATGTAGCCCATTGTTTGTATTGAACTATTATAGATGGGGAAAAAAGGAGCCATAATCTTTGTGTAATGTCCACTGGTTTGTCTATCTGGTGAAGGAAGAGAGTGTCCACCTCATTAACATAACTCTTCTCATGTCCTCTTCCCAGTTCTGTTCCTTCAAAAGGCCAGGATGTGGGGCGCTGCTTTAAAAAAATCAAAAGTGCAAGAGCTGTAAAGTGCTTGTGCCAGAAAGACACTGGTAACATTTGAGAGATCTACAAGTATGAAAACCCTCATCTTTTCATGTCTAACACCCGCGACTCCACCCCCCTGTGCTGCTGCAGGATAAAGATGCGAAGATCGCATTCCTTCAGAAGGCGATCGACGTGGTGATGCTGGTGAGCGGGGAGCCTCTGTCGGTGAAGCCGGCGCGCATCGTGGCAGGGCACGAGCCTGAAAAAACCAACGAGCTTCTCCAGGCCATCGGCAAGTGCTGCCTCAACAAGGTTAGTGATGTCACAGAGAGTAGACTGTCCACTGCCCAGGGTTTTCACAGACACAAGGCTGAACGGTCCTCTCGCAGGATGAAACAGGCTTTCACAGGTAAGATAAACACTGTTTAACACAGAGGTGAGTGTAAATAGTGCCGGCAAACCCTAACGGTTAAACAGTGCTTATCACTGGACCCGAATCCTGTTACGCAATTGTCGTGCTGCGGTGTACTGTGAAGTTGATATGACAGAAGGAAGCAGAAGCAAGTGTTTCAAGCTCCTGTTTGAAGTCCTAAGAGGGCTTTATGTGTCTTTGTGCGTTTTAATTGTACCCATGAGGTTTCAAAGGAAAACAGAACAGCTCCAAATCCCTGGTCGGGAGAGTGATGCAGTGATGCAGCTCGCGAGACCAGCCTGCATTAAAGAGTGCTTAAATTAAGTGATGCTGATTTCCATTCAGGAGAGCTACTCTTGATGATATGATTTTAGACAGCTATATGTGTGGCTGCTGTCTTCCTGCTCGGTGGTTAGAAGTATAGACAGTGTATTCTGATACATAATAGTCTCATTATTAATTAAGTGGATTAGGTGGATCTAATGAAGTGGATTATTATTAAGCGGATTATAGGCAGTGTTGTAAGCGGCAACATGAGTTTCTGTGTTATTCAGCTGTCCAGTGAAGAGGCAGTGCGACAGGTCCTGGCGGGGGACAAGCCTGACCTCAAGGGGAAGCCCACCTCCACCAGATCCCAGGACAAGGAGAACCGGGGGAGCCGAGATCGCCAGCGGAGCCAGGAGGTGAGAGCAGCTGGGCCTGACTTTCCTGCTAATACCCCACTGTAGAGCTGGCACCAGGCTGGCTCACTTGCAACCCCTCTTCCACTGTAGTGCCAGAACATGAAAGGGCCCTTAATGTGTTCTAGGAGAAGATGGAGATCAAAGATGGTGGCACCAGTCGGGACCGGAAGGATCAGGAGCGGCCGAAGGAGCAGGAGGGCAGGAGGGCTGAGAAGGACCAGCACAGAGAGGGCGGGAAAGCAGAGAGGGAAGGCCACAGGGAGCGGGGGAGGGCAGAGAAGGAGAAGCACAGGGAGGAGGGGAGGGCAGAGAAGAGCCGTGAGCACGACCGGGCGAAAGACCGCGAGAGAGAAAAGGACAAGAGCCGTGACAGGGAAAAGGACAGGGACAAGGCCAAGGAGCGAGACCCACACCGAGACCGAGAGCGAGATCGGGAGAAACGCAGAGACGGAGGCAAGGAGGTGGAGAAGGAGAGAGAGGCAGGCCAGGAACTGAAGGAAAAGGCCAAGGAAACCGAAAAACAAGATGAGAAGGTAGGATGTGTTCTCATTACACATTACATTCATTTAGCAGACACTCTTATGCAGAGCGACTTCCAGCACAATAGAACATAAGTGTCCATTCAAGTTAAATGAGCAACAATGTCAGACCAGGCTAACAACACTCCCCGAGACCAGTGACTGTGAGCATAACACTATTCAAGCCCTACCACAAGTTAACTTTTGCAATCTGACTAGACAAGGGAAGCCAAGTATACTACCATGTATCAGTCACTAGATCACAGAATCCAGAACACATCGCAAAAAGAGACGTAAAATAAACAGCAGGTACTACAAGTAGCAGGTGTTAGAGGGCAAGTATTAAAGTGGAACCAAGATGCAGTCTGAAGAGGTGAGTCTTCAGTCTGTGTTGGAGGATGGCCACTGATTCCACTGTCCTGACCCCCGTGAGGAGTTCATTCCACCACTAAGGGACCAGTACAGATAGGCATTATGTTTGAAAGGAGCAACCCCATTGGGACGGGACAGTCAGTTGCCCCATGGTTGTAGAGTATAGTGATCTTTGAACATAAGGCTTGAAGAGTAGTATAGGGGGCAGCACCATTTAGGTTTTGAACAAGGTTTTGATGTGAGCGATAACAGAAAGACAATGAAATGAGGTGAGGAGGGGAGTAACTTGTTTAGGGAGATTATAGACAAGTCGTGCGGCTGCATTTTGGATTAGTTGTCAGGGTTTGATGGCACAGGCAGGAAGACGAGCAAAGAGGGAGTCACACTAGTCCAGGCGTGAGAGGACCAGGGCCTGAACTAGGAGCTGTGTTAAATACGTAGGGAGACAAGTACAAGATTCTACGGATGTTGTACAGAAAGAAT